GTACATGATTTGGATGATCAATAGAAACATATATAAATATGCATCATATATCAAGTAAATTCATTAAAAGTGGCTAACCTAGGTTTATATAGCACTCTTTAAACACTTTTTTTCCATCAGTAAATTTGGCTAAGTGGGACCACATAAACAGAGAATGAAGTTCTAATGAGGTAATGGAAAATAAGTAGGGCTTTTCAGTATCAGTTTGTTTGTATTTTGTAAGGATTGTGCAAGGTATAATCGTGAATGAGCATTTATTACTACTTTGTGTGTGTTCAGTAATGGTCAGCTGGGAGAACTCATGTACAGGAATACTTAAAACTTTTACTTTTATCAGATGTATAACTCTAACAAATCGGAGTTAAACATTCATAGATTGAATTGTTAGGTGTTTTACCTTGTTAGCAATGTACAGATGTTTTGTAAATACTTGTAAATAGTGCCGATATTGTGTATAAATGATACAAGTGGTTTTCCGAATGCGTCTGTGATACATTTCCTGCTATAGTTGACTATATTGTGTCTGTTGTTCCTTGTTACATGGCTATATATATAGGTAGATATATAAATGTGCTATACTCTCTGATGGTATGTCTACACAGAAAAATACAAATGTTATCTCCCTTTACCTTGAGAACTCTTAATTAGTAAAAATCATGATCACTAGTAAGTAGTTTGTCATTTACATACTGGATGACCGCACAGTATATTGTGGTATTAAACTGCAAACCTGTTTTTTATCATGATTTTATTAATAAAAAAAACGTGAAGTCCTCATTTAGAGGGAGATATGTACATGTTTTGTATGTCTTGTTTACACTTTTAGAAATATTGTCAACTTAAAAATTGTTTGTTTGTTGAATACAATGTTCAATGTCATTAGTTAAAGTGTTACAGTCTTTTCCAGAGATAAATATTTGAATAAAATATTATCTGTTGTTACAACTTACATGAGAGTTTTTGTTATGATGGTGCAGCTTTGTTACTTTGTCAGAAGGAAGTGGACATTGTTACTTTGTCAGTAGGAAGTGGACATTGTTACTTTGTCAGAAGGAAGTGGACATTGTTACTTTGTCAGTAGGAAATGGACATTGTTACTTTGTCAGCAGGAAGTGGACATTGTTACTTTGTCAGTAGGAAGTGGACATTGTTACTAGTGGACATTGTTACTTTGTCTGTAGGAAGTGGACATTGTTACTTTGTCTGTAGGAAGTGGACATTGTTACTTTGTCAGTAGGAAGTGGACATCGTTACTTTGTCAGTAGGAAATGGACATTTTTACTAATGGACAGTTACTTTGTCAGTAGGAAGTGGACATTGTTACTTTGTCAGTAAGTAGGAAGTGGACATCGTTACTTTGTCAGTAGGAAGTGGACATTTTTACTAATGGACAGTTACTTTGTCTGTAGGAAGTGGACATTGTTACTTTGTCAGTAGAAAGTGGACATTGTTACTTTGTCAGTAGGAAGTGGATATAGTAACTTTGTCAGTAAGTAGGAAGTGGACATTGTTACTTTGTCAGTAGGAAGTGGATATTGTTACAAGTGGACATTGTTACTTTGTCAGTAGGAAGTGGACATTGTTAGTTTGTCAGTAGAAAGTGGACATTGTTACTATGCCAGTAAGTAGGAAGTGGACATTGCTACTTTGTCAGTAGGAAGTGAACATTGTTACTAGTGGACATTATTACTTTGTCAGTAGGAATTAGACATTATTACTTTGTCAGTAGGAAGTGGACATTGTTACTTTGTCAGTAGTAAGTGGACATTGTTACTTTGTCAGTAAGTAGGAAGTGGACATTGTTACTTTGTCAGTAGGAAGTGGACATTTTTACTAGTGGACATAGTTACTTTGTCAGTAAGAAGTGGACATTGTTACTTTGTCAGTAGGAAGTGGACATTGTTACTTTGTCAGAAGGAAGTGGACATTGTTACTTTGTCAGTAGGAAATGGACATTGTTACTTTGTCAGCAGGAAGTGGACATTGTTACTTTGTCAGTAGGAAGTGGACATTGTTAGTTTGTCAGTAGGAAGTGGACATTGTTAGTTTGTCAGTAGGAAGTGAACATTGTTACTAGTGGACATTGTTACTTTGTCAGTAAGAAGTAGACATTATTACTTTGTCAGTAAGTAGGAAGTGGACATTGTAACTTTGTCAGTAGGAAATGGACATTGTTATTTTGTCAGTAGGAAGTGGATATAGTTACTTTGTCAGTAGGAAATGGACATTGTTACTTTGTCAGTAGGAAGTAGACATTGTTAGTTTGTCAGTAGGAAGTGGACATTGTTAGTTGGTTAGAAGGAAGTGGACATTGTTACTATGTCAGTAAGTAGGAAGTGGACATTGTTACTTTGTCACTTTGTCAGTAGGAAATTAACATTGTTACTAGTGGACATCGTTACTTTGTCAGTTAGAAGTGGATATAGTTACTTTGTCAGTAGGAAGTGGAAATGTCAGTAGAAAGTGGACACGACTGTAGGAAGTGGACATGACTGAAATAAAATCATTAATCTAGATGCTTATTCAGAAGATTTAATGTCTGGAATTTATATTTAGAAACTGAACTTCTGGAGGAAAACCTGATTTGTACCAACACATTATCCACAGTTCAATTGTAAGCTGAAAATTCCACACTTGATTTGGAAAGACACTCCAGACAACATCAACATGGTTTCTCATTCCATTGCCAAATTACCCTGATATACAGATTATGTAGTTTTCTTAGCTAAGCAGTCCTGAAGACCACGTGAGCTTTTGCTGTGGTGCGTCATATGGCATCAGGCTATCAACATTTCCTTTGAAGAGCTATCAGTCCAAAACGGCTGAATGGATTTTGACTAAATTTGGTCTGGATAATTGTTGAGCAAATGGGACAGAGCCCAAATAGAGATAAACTTTCAAATCCTTCTCTTTGTGTGGCCTCCTAGGGGCGGAGAATGGGGTTCAGTATGGCGTAATATAGGTATGCAAGTCTTTAAAATCTCCCCTCTGTGCAAATGAAGGGATTTTGTCAAAATTTGCTCAAGAGCATCATTGGGCTAAGGGGATTCAATATTAGGATAAACATTGGTTGATGTCTTCAAGGGGATGGTGCCTATTAGGGGAAATGGGGTTTTAACAAAATTTAGTTTGAGGGCAGAGAGGCAAGGCTTAAGAAAATCATTCTCCTTTTAAACAGATTTAACTTAATTTGATCTGGAGCATTCTCGGGCCAAAGGGACTCATTGTTGCCTAAACAGAGTGTGTGGCCTCGTTCGGGACAAAAAGATGGGGCCCAGTGGGAGAAATTAGGTCATCAAGTGGAAACTGTTGAAAGGTCTCCACCCTTTGACTTCTGCTCCTGGATCGTACCAGAGAAGCGATTGAGATCATGGCTTAGCAATTTAGATCCAAACTTAATAAACTCTTCATGCAATAAATAAACATGAAGAGCCTGTCACGATCATGTTACCAGAGTTAACTGGGTATGTGACTTTGTTCCAACATTGAAACGTTTTAGATCCCAATTTTGTAACCAAACATATGCTTGCAAGGCATAGAGAAAGTGCATGTATCATGGGGCTGGGTTTCTGGAAGAGCTGGGAAACGACCAGCGACCTGTATTATACAGGTCACTGGCAAAAAGGACAGAAATTAGACTTCTGTTAGACAATCTGAGTATTATTAACATATTCGGGGCTTGCATTTGTTTGCTATTTTAGCTCTATTTTAGCGAAAAAAATCTGCCGAGTAAATTAAGGGCTTATTATCCTAAAACTCCTTTTTCCAGTACTAAATAAAGCACCTCAGAACGCACAGAATGCTCCAGATTGCACCGTTGTTTTCACGGTGGGCACAAAATTTATGAATAAACATGAATAGAGGGCTAGCTACGCCCCTGACCGGGGCTAATTTAATTGAATATTCCACACCACCATTATAATATTTCAACAGTTTGGCTTTAGGGTGCTGAGAGACAGTTATCCCAATACTAGATGGTGATTGTAACCAGCTCTCCCTGACCCCGGACTTAGACAGTTTGACAGATAACGTTAGATGTCTGGTGTGGCGGCCCCACACCATGCAGACATCAATAGAAACACTTCTTAGTAATTTACATATGACAGTCCCTCCCGTACTCGGTAGTGAAGTGGACGTAAAAACACCCAAACAGACGAGCCCCCAAACAGACGAGCCCCCAAACAGACGAGCCCCAAACAGACAAACACCCAAACAGACGAGCCCCCAAACAGACAAGCCCCCGACATCTCTTTGTGGTAAACAATGATGGAATCTAGCAGTGGTGCCGTCTAAAATGGTTTGTATAATCAGATTAGCTTCGATTTATACTTCAGTAAAAGTATAGGTCATTTACGACAATTTTTTTTAATATATCTTCTCTCGCCGATCTGTTATATGGAAAAAAGAAATGTGTTCATGGTATGGAATGTGTTCATGGTATGTATTCAATTTAACAATCATGCTGCGTGGACACCTATTGTATTGTAATTCCTACAAACAGCGTTTGACAGGCCTAATAAAACTAGGTACAAAATGTAAACAAATACACGTGGTTGTATTCCCGCCGTGTGACGTACTTAGCAACAATATTAAAACTGGCGATTTCATTGGTTCGTGGAGATATATTACGTCATTGCAAAGTGCTCGTTGAACATGGTCAAAAACATCCTGACTCCCTAGATGATTTATTATTGGAAGCATTACGATATAAAGAAAATATGTTTGCATTTCAAAAGGGAAATAAACGTGATTGTTTTAGAGTCTGACTATGAAGCAGACACGTCTCTATCTTAATTTTGAACGATTGTTTTTCCTCTGACTGTTTTGACAGCAGAAAGTAAACACTTTAACCATTATACATTATCTTTATTAAAGTTTGTTTGAAAAACAGGATTTCAAAATACCCTAGGCCCATTAGATTTCCTCAGTCATAGCCTATTCATTCAATCGCGAACTTCAACACCTACGTGAAAAATAACAAAATCCAAAACGAGGCTGCGTGTGTCAACAAGATCGAAGGGAGCACGTAAGAGAGAATCCGAACATTTTAGTGGTTTTATTTCAATGAATTTAAGAATACGGATTGAATTTAATGTTTTGAGGTATGCGAGAAGAAATCGCCGCGGCAGTCGTGTTTGTGACACGGCTTATTCGACAAAATGGTAGCCTTTCGGAGGGCAAGGTAGACGACTTTTCAAGTTGTTTATCCGCCATTTTGGTAGAAAAATTTAAGAATCATTGGTACAGAGATAGGCCGGCTAAGGGACAAGGATTCAGATGTATCCGTATAAATCCATCGGAACCGATTGACCCGGTCCTTGAAAAAGCTGCGAGTGACGCCGGATTAGAATGTGCGGAGTTGCTTTTACCTGTAGAAATGACACTATGGGTCGACCCCGAGGACGTTTGCTGCAGGTAAAAAACGTGTTTGAGGATGTTGTTTTGAAGGTATAACGATGACTTATGTCAGAAAAAATGGTGTATAATATACATTTGATGAATATGCGCTGATGTAAGTATCTCGTTAAAGTTATGTATAATGTCGGCCAGTCGGGTATCATGTCTCCGCTCCAGAAAGCTTTAGGCTGCTTTATGATTTATAAACATACCATCGTGTGGAAAGTACCCGTGATTTGTACGAACAAACGATTAGCAATATCCAGCAAGCACATTTTCACAGGGAGAAATAGAGGTAGAAGACATACCAAATTCGTTCATGGTTGAATCTTCGTTCTAGAATACTTTCAATAGATTTTGACATTTCCAAGGTTATATTAGGGCTCTATAGTTTTATAGGTGGCTAATACTACTGGCCAGTAGTACACTACACCTTTTCATAGACCAAGATATTGATTGGGAATAAAAGGTTGATGGCCTATTGACCCGTTTTCTGGAAATCGGTGCACTATTGAAAAAAGGTGTTGTTGGTAAATGGGTTACTCTGCTTGGTCTATCGTTAGTGCAGGCAAATTCGTCACATTTATAAGTAAGGGTTTCAGTTAATAAATCGTCCAAATGTAAGCATACATTTATCAAAATGCCAACTAGTACCTGTACAGAAGAAGACTTGACTGAAATTCCTATAAATAAACATTGTTGTACTAAAAACGCCTGACGTCACGCAGCAACACATGTGTGACGTCATCAGGCCTTCAGTGGTTTTGCTCAAAGGTGCATGCAGTTTCGCAACCTTTAAACATTTCACTAATTTGCAAGTATAATGTGCATTTAAAGGGGCATCACGGTGAAGTAACTTTATTTTTTGTCTTTTTTTCAAATACTACATAAACATATCAAGTGAGACTCCTTATGGAAAATAACGATCGGATTTGGCTGAAATAGATTCATAAAAATGATTAAATCTAAGAAAATCATCGGTATTTCTACCTGTCTGACCAACGTTTTGTTCAGGGATTTCCCTCTACTAGCGCATGCGCATAGCACACCATTTCTTTGTAAACAAAATGACTGGCCGTGTGAAGTAAGCGAAAGAAAAGTGTTGTACCGTGTCAGCTACGAAACGAAAAGTTGCCAAATGGTCAAAAGATAGCGCAAGGAGTACGTTACGGAATCATTATTGCAGGTGGGCAGTATTCAAAGGAGAAAATAACTGCCGTAGCAGTTAGTACGGTGCATGTATTCTTCCGGATAGCCGGTTAAGCTGAAATGGAATCGACAGAAATGCTAGCGCTGTTTATGTTATGAATAAATATCTAAAACTATTAAGCTCGCTAGTATCTTTTTGTCTGAGTTTGAACACAGATGAACTTAGTTCAATATGTTAATGGGCATGTATTGGAGAGAGTTTACTTTGTGTTTCTATAATTATACAGTGGTTTATGCGAAAGGAAGGGATAAGTGACTGGTTAGTTTGATTTTGCCATGAGGCCCTCCAAGGGATAACTGTTGTGATGGCCCACAGCATATTTTCTGGGTCACCGAGATACTTGTTATCTAAATCCGTGGATTTACCTAATTTATAATATTACCGCGTTCAATAAAATGGTATGATTTAATTATATTGCTGAATTAAACGATTATTTTTGTTTTTACATGCAAGATTTAAATTAGTACTAATATGAATACCCGGCCTCCTCTGCCCCAGCAATATATAAAAAAAAATCAGAAAGGTTTGTCCCTTGGTGTAGGGAAGGTGTTTAGCCCCGTACCATCTGTACCGGCCACATTCCGGTACTAAATTCAATATATATTTAAATATATCTACTTTATGTTTATGTCTATTATCATTGTTGACATTTAATTGTAAATGTATGACGGGAGAAGGCTGTGATAAATTGTAAAAACTTGTGCCCCATCCCTTGTTTAATTGTATTGGCAACAAATTTATGTTTAAAGCTAAATAAATTTAAATTCTGAACATTGGCAAGTGTGCAATTAACTTCTAATGAATAATTACTGTTCAATAAGTTTGAATACGGACTTAGAAATCATATAACTTGGTTTCATAGTGCGGTAAGAGGTTGCAGTTGCCCAACGGCCCCTCTCTGGGGGCCCCTTTGGAAACCGTTTCATCTCGCTCGCACCACTTGTGTTTACTGCCTAGTCAGGTGACGTTATCGGCGCTGTTTTTAGCAGGGCTTTCCCGAACAATTCAAGTGGTCAAACTGGACATTTGGAATCGACTATGAATATGGGGATAGCGAGGTAACATAAGTGGAAGTGCATACAATACATACATTCATTAAAAAAAAAAACGCCTTTTCACGTGATGTCCCTTTAAACAATGTAAGTGTTTAATTGTAAAATTTTGTGTGTTTATGTTACACAAGTCGTACTGATACTAACAGCTCCATTTGTTTGTGTAACAATGATTAACATTGAAATAAATGGCTTTTCTTAGCTGTGATACTTAATTTTCGGTAACTTGAAGAAACTGATCAATGCTGTTTGAGTAAGATGGCAGGGATCGGCTGAGATGAGGTGAATTTGCATGCATCGCAATGAAGGCTTAGTCCAGATCAAATATAAACTTCCAAATCTGTGCCCATTTTTTTTTTCTCCATCGGCATCGGTCCGGATGAGAGGGTCCAGGGCTACCAACGGTCTATTCCCGTCCCCCTGACTTTTGGAGAATTTGTCACGTGTAAATCTTGCATGTCAAAGGAAAACATGACAAAAAACTTCAACAGAGACTGCCCCAGATGGTGTAAATGTACTTCCATTTCCATGTAAAAGTCATCTTTGGGTAATTCAAGGTTAACGCTAGTCTCGGTCTCTACGTACAATCAGCATGCCATTGTACAGCAGCACTTTCAGGCCGACACGGTCTCTACGTACAATCATCATGCCATTGTACAGCAGCACTTTCAGGCCGACACGGTCTCTAGATCTACGTACAATCACCATGCGATTGTACAGCGGCACTTTCAGGCCGACACGGTCTCTACGTACAATCACCATGCGATTGTACAGCAGCACTTTCAGGCAGACAGTCTCTACGTACAATCATCATGCGATTGTACAGCAGCACTTTCAGGCAGACAGTCTCTACGTACAATCATAATGCGATTGTACAGCAGCACTTTCAGGCAGACAGTCTCTACGTACAATCATAATGCGATTGTACAGCAGCACTTTCAGGCAGACAGACTCTACGTACAATCATCATGCGATTGTACAGCAGCGCTTTCAGGCCGACACGGTCTCTACGTAAAATCAGCATGCGATTGTACAGCAGCACTTCCAGGCCGACACGGTCTCTACGTACAATCAGCATACGATTGTACAGCAGCACTTTCAGGCCGACACGGTCTCTACGTACAATCGCATGATGATTGTACGTAGAGACCATGTCGGCCTGAAAGTGCATGAAAATGGAAAATGAGTTATCAAATCTTTCCAAGTGTCATAAATTTCCATAAACAAGCATTGGGTCGTCAGTACATTGTATTTATCAATATTGATGGCTCATGATCAGTCGACCATAAAACTGCAATTAGAACTGAGATATGGGTATTTTTAATTTGTATGTAATGCTTTTACACTAGATCACAACCAACAGGCCTTAGATTGATGAGTTAAGTTGACAAGATGTCTGTCAAATAGACCAAATATTTAAGATTCAGTTTTTACAAGATATTTTATAACTGTTTAAATTAATAATATGACTACCTTTTTATACACCTCCTTGTCAAAATATGTTAAGGCTTTAATTGTGTTGAAGACTATGGTGACATTGTTTACGTCAAATCTTATGTATTATGACGTCATGGCATTTTCTTCACAGGGTTGCGAATTTGGGTGCATGGCGAACTTGCCTGCACTAATGTTATATCTATCTTTGTCAACGAGTGTGTGAAGTGAAAGAACAGAACATGTCCATGACAGACGGCTTCTTACTGCAGACCTAAACCTAATTACCTCAATAACGGTTACCTACAATATGTCCTGAAAGCGGGGGATATAAATTCCACAAATTTGCTTGTTTACTCAAGTTTGGCATCAGAGTAATCCTATTGACTCAGGTTTGGCATCATAGTGATCCTGTTGACATGTAATTGACTCAGGTTTTGGCAACAGAGCAATCCTGTTGATATATATAATCGACTCAGGTTTGGCATCAGAGAAATCCTGTTGACATATAATTGACTCAGGTTTGGCATCAGAGTAATCCTGTTGACATATAATTGACTCGGGTTTGGCATCAGAGCAATCCTGTTGACATATATTATTGACTCAGGTTTGGCATCAGAGTAATCCTGTTGACATGTAATTGACTCAGGTTTGGCATCAGAGTAATCCTGTTGACATATAATTGACTCAGGTTTGGCATCAGAGTAATCCTGTTGACATATAATTGATTCAGGTTTGGCATCAGAGCGATCCTGTTGACATATATAATTGACTCAGGTTTGGCATCAGAGTAATCTTGTTGACATATAATTGACTCAGGTTTGGCATCAGAGTGATCCTGTTGACATAAATTATTGACTCAGGTTTGGCATCTGAGTAATCCTCTTGACATATATTATTTACTCAGGTTTGGCGAGATGCACGGATCATCAGTTTCTATGTACACACTTGCAACCACCAAGGATGGAAACCTGGAGAACCGGGCCCACGTCATCAACATCGATGAAATCATGGAGAAGGAGCGAGAACGACATAACCAGATGGTATTGTTTCCATATAATTGGGAGAAATTTTTGATATTTAATATTACCAACTCTATTGTGCTGTAGTGAAGAAGTGTTCACAGAACTGATTTCATCGCTACATTTGTAAATTACATCTACCAGGGTAATGAAAATGTCCCATGTGTTGATATTGAGCTTGATAAGAATTGTTTTAATATCATGATCAATATTCATGTATACACACACACACACATATAGTATGTAATTTTCTTATGAAGGTTCATGTTCATTGTTATCTACAATGTTTATGTACCATATTCGCTGTAATTAGCACCCCTTTCCTTTTTTCGAGAGGAATTGAATTCCTATAAACTCCCTCCCCATCCCAGACCTGATCACTAGGCCGGTCAGTAGTTTACAGAACTTACATATATATTTATAGAAGATGTTTATGTCCGATGATCATGGCTGGATTTCATGTGAAGCTGATGAAACATTTGATATCCAAACCTCAAGCCACACAATCTGATTAAAATCATATGTTACATGACTCCGCCTGAACATCTGAATGTGCCGTGGTCAGGGTCACGTTCCAGTGACCTTTAGATGAACCAATCAGAGGCGCGCTGGCAAAAGTTCGCCAGCGAATCGGAATATCATGGTTGATAGATAAATAGCGAGGGGTATCGAACAGATTAGTTTTCCAAAACAAATATGGCGGCGGGAACTGACGTTTCTAGGACGCCGAGGAAGGAAAACGTACCCATTAGGTAATAATTGCGTAGGCATCACCGCCATACAGTCTTTCTTCTCTAATAAAGCGTCGAGTATCTTTTTCTGTTCGGGTTTCAGACGATCAATCTCAAATAACTTCAGAACTTTCGCATCATTCTCATCAATGTCCGACATATTTGTTGCAACTCCGAGCGCCCTTTTGAAAGAGGGTCTCTGATTGGTCAAAATTTAATGAGTATTTATAAATATAAAGGTCACCTGAACGTGACCCTGACCGCGGCACACTCAGATGTTCAGGCGTAGTACAAAGTTAACGAAGCCATGTAACATGATTTTAATCAGATTGCAAGCCACACTGACATGTGTATACTGTCATTCTGTTATACTGTACCTCCAGCCACACTGACATGTGTATACTGTACCTCCAGCCACACTGACATGTGTATACTGTCCTTCTGTTACGCTGTACCTCCAGCCACACTGACATGTGTATACTGTCCTTCTGTTACACTGTACCTCCAGCCACACTGACATGTGTATACTGTCCTTCTGTTACGCTGTACCTCCAGCCACACTGACATGTGTATACTGTCCTTCTGTTACACTGTACCTCCAGCCACACTGACATGTGTATACTGTCCTTCTGTTACACTGTACCTCCAGCCACACTGACATGTGTATACTGTCCTTCTGTTACACTGTACCTCCAGCCACACTGACATGTGTATACTGTCCTTCTGTTACACTGTACCTCCAGCCACACTGACATGTGTATACTGTCCTTCTGTTACACTGTACCTCCAGCCACACTGACATGTGTATACTGTCCTTCTGTTACACTGTACCTCCAGCCACACTGACATGTGTATACTGTCCTTCTGTTACACTGTACCTCCAGCCACACTGACATGTGTATACTGTCCTTCTGTTACACTGTACCTCCAGCCACACTGACATGTGTATACTGTCCTTCTGTTACACTGTACCTCCAGCCACACTGACATGTGTATACTGTCCTTCTGTTACACTGTACCTCCAGCCACACTGACATGTGTATACTGTCCTTCTGTTACACTGTACCTCCAGCCACACTGACATGTGTATACTGTCCTTCTGTTACACTGTACCTCCAGCCACACTGACATGTGTATACTGTCCTTCTGTTACACTGTACCTCCAGCCACACTGACATGTGTATACTGTCCTTCTGTTACACTGTACCTCCAGCCACACTGACATGTGTATACTGTCCTTCTGTTACACTGTACCTCCAGCCACACTGACATGTGTATACTGTCCTTCTGTTACACTGTACCTCCAGCCACACTGACATGTGTATACTGTCCTTCTGTTACACTGTACCTCCAGCCACACTGACATGTGTATACTGTCCTTCTGTTACACTGTACCTCCAGCCACACTGACATGTGTATACTGTCCTTCTGTTACACTGTACCTCCAGCCACACTGACATGTGTATACTGTCCTTCTGTTACACTGTACCTCCAGCCACACTGACATGTGTATACTGTCCTTCTGTTACACTGTACCTCCAGCCACACTGACATGTGTATACTGTCCTTCTGTTACACTGTACCTCCAGCCACACTGACATGTGTGTACTGTCCTTCTGTTACACTGTACCTCCAGCCACACTGACATGTGTGTACTGTCCTTCTGTTACACTGTAGCAACAGTTAAAGTCACAATTGTTTCATCATAACTCACATTGTGTTATCCTAATAAGTGGGCTGCATTAAAGCTAATTTTGTAAGTGCCTCCGGAGGAATCCATTTAAGCTATTTTCAGAAGTGCCTTGGTTACTTATGGCAAATATGGTATCTTTTCCAGTAGCCCATGGTGGTTGTGGTTGCAATTCATTAAGAAAGAGGATAAAAGTCTTTAGTAACTTATGATCTCTAATGTTAGGAATAATATTATGAATAAATCAATTGTATACACATGGTGTCCATATATGTGCCAACTCTTGAGGAATGCTGTGATTTTCCTGAAACTTTCTGCATATGTTTATATCAATTACCCGCTGATCAGGTTCTATTTTCACCAAAATCTGAAAATCAATATTGCTGGTTTTCCTTCTGAAAATTCAATTAACCCTTTTACCCATAGGTAACTTTACTGGACTCTACCATGCATTTATTGGAATGAGTCCATTATGGTCTATGATGGTGAAAGTGTTAATAATATATAATTTAATCTTGCTGGTAACAAGCATCTTGATTGGCTTAAAAAATTATGTTATCAGCCCATAATGTAAAAAATGATGTCACTGTTTGTACATCACTTTTGGTTGGCTGATACAGCGGCATAACAATTTCTAAGAGAAAAGAGTCCATCAATAAAAGTGGATTTCCACAGGGATTGTGTATAGAAGATTAAATTATAAGGATTAACTTGAATATATTTTTTATGTTATGGAGCTATAACACAAAAAAGCAGAGTGTACTGTCATCATAAACCGCTTCACAGTTTATTTAGAGTACACTCCGGTTTTTTGTGTTATATCTCCATAACATAAAAAATATATTCAAGTTAATCCTTAAATACTAGGTCTGATTTGAACTCTACTGACCACAGGCGTTGTGGCTAGTTCAATTGTTCCATACCCCAGCACTGTTACAAAAAACAATTGTTGTTGTGTTTACAGGTAAACATTGTGACAACTCGCAGTACCTCTCAGTGCCGTCCTCAGCAGTTCTCTCGGGGACTTTACTACGGTAAGACAGCAAACTTCTACAGCAAGCACCAGCACAACTTCTACAACAACCAGGCCTTCAGCTCAACGAACCGTCAGCGACGTACATCAGAGGAGGAGTCACAGGTGAACGGGAAACGGGTCTCTCCTGATCATGTCACTGAAGTGCGGCAGCAGTTCATGGACCAGGTAAACAATGCTGCAGGGAAGTCCGCCTCGTCTTCACCAGCAAAACAACCACCCACCAAGTCAACGGAAAGCTGTGTCAATCAAACTAAGGAAAACCAGAACAGTAATAAGACTGTGAAAGCAGGTGAGAATTTGAATAAGGCAACCAAGGTGCCATGTGGAGCTACCACAACTGAGGACAAGAAAAAGGTTAGTTGTCAGTCAGCTACCAAGTCAAAATCCTCGGCAGAAATTACGTCATCTTCCACCACTCCATCAGCATCATCTTCTAGCTCATCAACATCGACGTCATCATCGACGTCTGTGCCATTATTGGCGGCGCCAGGTAGCTACAATCAGGGACAGAAACGTGGTACTGACAACAAGGCAAGGAGTAACGGGGCGTATCCTGGCAACACAGCCTCATCAACAGGCTCCACCAATGCCCACAACAAAGGCAGCTATCATGGCAACGGAAATTACCAGAAATCGTACCATAGCAAGGGAGATAACTACCACTGGAATAAAGGCAGCACAGGCAGCACCAATGGGAATGGCGGGGCAAAGCATGCTCCAAAGTTCCACTGATAAAGTATTTCGTGAATGTGTAATATTATTGATCTATTTATAGAATTGGATTGTATGATGTGATAGAATTCATGTTTCTTATTGTTTCCAGTTAAATTTTACTTAAAATAGATTTCTTTGATGTTTTAGCATTTATGTTATGAAAAGACTGGCAGAATTAGATTCACATTTGGTCCTTTTTCTAAATGTAACCTTGGAGTTGTAACCATTGGCGTAATATTACTATTGCTGTTCTTGCAATAATCAGAACAATTTTCCTTTTTGTCAAATATTTGAATTAGTTCATAACTTTTGCTTTTGACATTCTGTGTTATTTGAAGAAGATTTTCCCTAAAGTTTTCATATAAAGACATGAAATGTTTTAAGGATATTTTTTCATCAATTCTTTTAGTCAGACTCTTTGAATTAATTGTTTATTTGTAAGTTGCTGATTGTTGTAATGAAATGATATTCTGTTTTAAAGGAATGAGTGCCACTTTACATGTAATTACTTATCACAAGTATGAAAATGATGTTTAATGGTTTGATCATAATGTTATACAGTAAAACCTTGTTAATCTGGGCTCTGGTAATCGGGACACCTGCTGTTTTCATTGGTAGGATACTATTGGTTTGTCCAAAAATACTCGTGCCGGAACCAGAAGAGTTTTATAGGTAAATTCTTTATAAAATATAACTGGAAATCATGTCTAGATGTCAAATGTACAAAGTGTTGGTTTAAATTTTCAGACATGTACACTGCCCAATGGGGCTATAACTATAACAAGTTATTATAATCAATTTTTTAACAAGCGCCCTATTAAGGGCAGTTTTTTCAAAAGTATGAAATCAATTAAGTCTAGAAATACCAAAGTCAGGTTTTGCTCATCAAAACCTTTGTAAAACTGACCATTTGCTCAGTTAAGGAGGTTTTTCTGAGAGTCCGTGGCAGTGGGTGCAGTTTGGTGCTGTGTAAGTATTGGGGAATAACGTTTAGTGAGTTATGTAGGAAGGTAACCAGCTTATTTTTCAATATTGTAGAATTATCGCATTTGTTTTTAATTAAGTATGAGGTACAAATTTGTTTTTGGCAGCATATTTTTCCTGATCACAAGATTTTGAATCAAAGTAATTTCATCGACATTTGGTACATATCATTCCCATATATAATATGCCAGTAATGGTTTATGTGTTAGCTGAGGTCAAAGGTTGCTCAGTAATAGCACACTACAAGTGTTCATCTTCGTCTCACAATCTCTGTTTGTGATTATTGTGTGTGCTACCAAGTAGATTAATTCTGACACCCTGTACATGTGTGTAGACGTTTATTGCTGATTTACCAGTTTAGTGAGAAAATGTACTCGAAATCTCAAAGTTCAATAGAGTCATCATAAAATGGTACAAATTTGGCAATTTATCATTTATATTAGATTATTAAAAAAAAAATATGTTAAGCTTTTATTTAAAGTTTGTGACTCGTATATTTTATTTCTCTGTTTTCATTTGAAAAAGCAATTGTGTGATGATGTTTTTTTGACAAAATTTGTATAATGATTTTATGTTAACGATGCAGGAAACTTGAAGAATATATCTGACACACTTGGTTGAACTTAGAGAATATATCTGACACACTTGATTGAACTTTGAGAATATATCTGACACACTTGGTTGAACTTTTTAGACAACCTGTTTCTCATGATTTTTGATTTTCCATAAGATAAAGATCTGTGTTGTCTGAGGTTTCCCGGTTTAGAGCACTGGAGGTAAAGATCTGTGTTGTCTGAGGTTTCCCGGTTTAGAGCACTGGAGATAAAGATCTGTGTTGTCTGAGGTTTCCCGGTTTAGAGCACTGGAGATAAAGATCTGTGTTGTCTGAGGTTTCCCGGTTTAGAGCACTGGAGATAAAGATCTGTGTTGTCTGAGGTTTCCCGGTTTAGAGCACTGGAGGTAAAGATCTGTGTTGTCTGAGGTTTCCCGGTTTAGAGCACTGGAGGTAAAGATCTGTGTTGTCTGAGGTTTCCCGGTTTAGTAGTGATAGAGTATATATATACATTATTGTATCTATTTAGTTGGTACAGTCCTACAACACAGGGAGGCTACCAGTGTAAGACCAATATATTAACAACTGCATTTTATAGGATCATTTCCAAAAACAACAACAAAAAAACAGTGTAAACAACATATTTTTTTAGTGTGCTGGTCTATTTTTTTATGTGAATCCCATTAACGCCTTTCATATAAAATAAAAGGCTTGCAGTAATTTGCAGTTCTTTGCTCGCTTAAATAATACTTGAAGTGTAAAACAAATTAAATATGATAACAGACTTTTATCTGAAAATTGCATTTCCACTTAGATTTGAAGACCAACAGAATTGACCGTACCAATGATACAGTGGTTGATCATTTATAACTTAATCATGGCTGAGAAGTAAACTAATTGTATCCACCAAATACAGGCTGGATGGAGTTGGGGCTCTAGAAATATTGTACATTTCTAAACCGACGATAATACATGCTTCAGTGTTAATAATGTAATGGGTCAATCTGGCCACCTCTGTTTGACCACTGGATGTTGTGTTCATTAACATGGGACACTCCTCTTGGTATACTAATGGGGGGGGGGACAAACCGTTGTATGTCCTTTGAACTTTAACCTTTGACCTAACAACTTGATTTAATCTTTGGCCATATAACTTTAAATTTGATGTGCATGTTTCTTTTTTTAATAAATTTGATCACTAATAATGAAATGATATTGCATTTTAAAACCATAATGTGAACTTGACAAGTTGTTAGTTTGTGATAAGCCATGGCAGTTTTTGATACCTTTGCATTGTCTAACCTCATATTCTCAATTTTAGTGTTAACCAGTAGAAACAGTTAGAGTGACCACCTGTCAAGTATAGACCACACCCACACAACTTCTCATAATACATGTAAAAAATAAAGATCAAAGTGATATTTTCTTTTACTGAAAAAAATTGATTGTGATATTCAAGGAATTATTTTACCTCAGTGATTCAGGGTTTTGAACCAACAGTAATGTGTTGATATTTTATAATTTGAGGTTTGCTGTAAAGGGCTGTTGATGTATGTTATTGAACCAGTAGTGATGTGTTGATATTTCATAACTTGAGGTTTGGTATAAAGGGCTGTAGATGTATGTTATTGAACCAGTAGATTGAATGTGATATATTTGTGTTATTTTGATTTATTGTATTGAGTTGTATCGATCTAGCATTACTATTGTGATAGATGCATGGTTTTTGTGAATTGTAATTTATATATGTAATTTGTTTGATTACCATTTTATAAGCAATTCTAATTAGATTCTGTTAATTCAATGTTATGTTTCCTAGGTATAAAATAGTGATGGACTTGGAAGTGTTCAGATTGGAGGACTGATAATGTGCTACTGTATTTGCATTTTTCATAATGTTAAAGAAACAATAATTTGTAGTTCATGATATATATTTGTTTCATATCCTGAAAAATGATTAAATTCCAATGTGATTCGTTGATGAAAACATATTATTGTTAGTCACATGAAGGAGATCTGAACAAAACGTTGCTGGAAAGGTTGTGTACTGACAAGTTTAGAAAATTGGAGGGTGGTTTAAAATAGTCCAGATTCCTAGTTATAAGGTAATGGTGTAGACACAATTGATCACTTTATCTTTTGTTCGACAGTGCTACTATTGCCAGTATATTGCTGTGTTCAGATTTGTCAATGTTGTGATTGTTATGCATGCATTTAAAACATCTAAGAGGCCCAACTTAGGTGGCCAGCCATTTATATCTCGACTGCCATCATTATTATCACTCAAAGTGCTATCCATTTATCCTATTATATATTTGAGAAATTTAATCTTATCAAAATATTTGCATTCCCTACCCCATCTGAAGATATAAATATACCATTGTACAGAAAGTATGTCCACTAAGTGGACATGTTCTAAAAAAGATTATACATGTATGTACATTCATCAAAGGAAGGTAATGGGGTAAATTAGATATATATGATGCCCTACACTAGTGTTGTGTAGATGGTCAATGTCTATGATACTGAGAAAGTTTCTAGCCACTCGATGTGAGAGATACATAGGAAAGACACCATTCCCAGTTGTTAATGTCAGCAGGTTTTGCCATTTTATCACCAAATAGCATAGTAATGTGCAAAATATGAATCATTTTCATTTTTGGATGGCATTTTGAATGAAGGCTAACAATGCCAAAGATCCTCTAGGTTAAGTTATACATATTTGGAAATTTACATTAATTTATTTTTATTGCAAATTTTGTTAATTTTCTATTTAGTTGTTTGGAACGAAATGGAGCATCTGTTTTTAGCAAGAACAGATGGTAAATCTTGGTTTCAAATTTGTGTTTTTTGTTTGTGTGTGCAATGCAGAAGATAAGTTTTATGTAGATTAATTAGTGATGTCTATAGTACAATAATATAATTAATTGAATTGCTGGGTTCTGTTGGAATGTGTTTTTCTGAAAGTCAATGAGGATGTGTATCATTGACTATTCGGGTGATAATTATTAGAAAAAATGTTTTTTTGACTATTTTATTGTGTATCCACCACCTTTCGGTATTTTAAGAATGCGTAATCCTTTTAACTAATGGAGAAATATATGGCTCTGTGAAGAAATTTGACATCTGTATTAACATGGGTCCTGTCCAGCAATCAGACAACTACTGTCAGTAATCCATGATTTGACCAAAAGTAAAATAAACCCAGAAAAATAAATTAATATCAAGGTCACTTTAATATGCATTTTGAAAATAACATGATTACTAGGGTCTGCAGGGTATTTATATATCCCTTGTTTAAAGGGTTTTTGTAATGTTGATCACATCTACTAGTTTCTCCATTAAAATTGTTCTCGATTGTAGCATTGTGCTGAAGTCTGCTGACAAATAGCATTGAGAATCGATGTCAACTATTGTATCTATAAATAGGAGTGAGGCATTACACAGCGACATAAGGAAATACAGAAGCATGGTAACAGGCTGACAACAGTTAAGGACCTAGGGGAAACGCTTGAAATGATGCTTGCTATTATCATATGTTGTGAATTTGTATTGGATGATTTGTACTTAGTTGGGAATTTTCAAGATATTTGTATGTACAAGGCAACTACTTCAGATCTGCAGGAAATTATATTCCTTTAACAAAATTTTGAATTGTATATATATTTTATGCAATTATTTGTTTATATTTAAATGGAATAACTAAATTAATTATTGTATTATTAATGTTTGTGTAAACAACTGTTTGGCAGTGCTAGATAGACCGGTTATTTTTGGATCCCCGTACCACTGTCAAAAACTGTATCTACACATAGGAAACTGTCTAGCATATGACTACAGCTGGGATAAAGCATTTCTGAAAAGGAAATAATAATATTCATGAAATAAGCAAAATGTCATTAACAATAGAGTTCTGAGTGTAGAAAGTTAAGTGGGACTGGACCAGGATCAACAATAGAGTTCTGAGTGTAGAAAGTTAAGTGGGACTGGACCAGGATTAACAATAGAGTTCTGAGTGATGAAAGTTAAGTGGGACTGGACCAGGATTAACAATAGAGTTCTGAGTGTAGAAAGTTAAGTGGGACTGGACTAGGATTAACAATAGAGTTCTGAGAGTAGAAAGTTAAGTGGGACTGGACCAGGATCAACAATAGAGTTCTGAGTGTAGAAAGTTAAGTGGAACTGGACCAGGATCAACAATAGAGTTCTGAGTGTAGAAAGTTAAGTGGGACTGGACTAGGATTAACAATAGAGTTCTGAGAGTAGAAAGTTAAGTGGGACTGGACCAGGATCAACAATCGAGTTCTGAGTGTAGAAAGTTAAGTGGGACTAGACCAGGATCAACAATAGAGTTCTGAGTGTAGAAAGTTAAGTGGAACTGGACAAGGATCAACAATAGAGTTCTGAGTGTAGAAAGTTAAGTGGAACTGGACCAGGATCAACAATAGAGTTCTGAGTGTAGAAAGTTAAGTGAGACTAGACCAGGATTAACAATAGAGTTCTGAGTGTAGAAAGTTAAGTGGGACTGGACCAGGATTAACTGTGAGTTACTTCAGGTTGTTACTATTGCTCTAACCTACTGAGATACCCAGTCAACGAAAGTGTCCTGGCTCAAATGTTTACATGCCTAAATGAAATTAAGGGGAGGTTACTGTAGTTACCACAGTGCATTGGGACAGGGATTCTTAAGGGGAGGTTACTGTAGTTACCACAATGCAGTGGGACAGGGATCCTTAAGGGGAGGTTACTGTAGTTACCACAGTCCAGTGGGACAGGGATCCTTAAGGGGAGGTTACTGTAGTTACCACAGTGCAGTGGGACAGGGATCCTTAAATGCCGATCTTTGTTGAGTTATTTTCATTTCAATTTAAATTGAAGCCACGTGTATGTGATAGATATTATTTATCGTTTGGTTTGTCAGATAACGGGTTTGCTAAGGAAAAGAGATGTTACATCCTCCTCCTCACAGTATTGTTTGTGGAACAAGGAAGTTATCAGAATGTTAACATGTGTATTACATATAAACAGAGATCAGGGCCCCTTTTGTGTATCCGGTTCGACTGGTTTGTTTGTTTTTAAATGTAACATTTTTGGGTATTAATCCCGACAGACCTGCAAATGAAAGCAGCATCAGATTAGTAGGTCCGACATTATCTCATAAACAAACAACTCTGGTCCAACCTGTTGGGATCGTGATAAACGAATGCGGCCCTAGACGACTTTAACACTTGGTATTTGTCTGGGCTTGGTTGTATACAGGTTGAGGAGTTTAATGATTCATTAGGCCAGTATTTCTGATTAAATTCAAATAAATAATTACAGTCATTTTGAATCCCTAGATATTCATACTTTCCTTCAAATTATTATAAATGTTCTCCTATACAGAATGGATATGATTACCTTCTGGTTGGATGGCGTCTGTCACTATTGGCCTGAACTAATACTTGGTTTGTGGCTAGAAGTGTATGGACACCACAAAGCTAGGGGTGTTCTGGATTGTGAAATGTAGAGCAATATTGTCGGCATAAACATTTTTCAATTTCATTTTTTTTTCTTCTAAAGATCCTATTTATAACTGATGGCCTATCAGGATGTTCAAAAGGATTGTTAAACATGTCCAAGTTCAGGTATGATAGTACGGTCATTGTACAGCAGTCTGATGTGTATTGTCACTTTGTATAAAAGTAGAGAGACATGCTTTGATGTCAAGTTGTATTTCAAATATAAATTAGTTCAGAGTTTGAAAATAGGTTTGTATTCAATATACTACTGAAGTATTATAATTAGAATCGTGTTTTCTTGATGACAATTCAGGGTATAGTTTATTATTTATGATCAGGTGTAAAGGGATTGATTACACAAAAAAGAGTGGTTCCTATATCATGTATGTATAACTAGATAAGTATTTATATAGAAAATGATTGCCAAGACAGTGAAACAGAGTTATACGGTTAAGATATATGAGAAATAGCTGTGTGAAGTTTTCTGAAGGCACTGATGGAGAATATATAATAAAAATATGTAACCCATTACCCATAATTTTATGTAACAGTTTATACTATGGTGATGTTGTAATACGTGTTCGTTCTGTGGATAATGGATACAATTATTGATATGTTTTAACATCAATACACCGAAATATTAACGAGGATTACAGAATTACCTCCCTTCCTCAAAATGCTGTACTTGTATATCTATGCTATCCAGTGTGAATGGGTATCGTAACATTTAGTGCTTCTCACACAAACAAAAATGTGCTAATTCATGGGCAGCATTGAAAATCATTTTCCAAGGGCAGAGAAAAAGGCACTGAGATATATAGGGCCTAATATTTTCATACAAAATACATTTCCAACAAATTATTCTGAGATTGTTGTATGATTTTTTCAGAAAATTATATTTACATAATATCATTCAATTCATATTGATCTTAAAAATGGCAGACATCTGATACTATAGCTGTTTGGTTGATTATGTTCATTGTATTACATAACCTTGCCACATAGAACCTGGATGTAATATCACCTACAGATGGAGTCTGCCGCGAGCTTTAAATTTCTTGTGTTATATGCTGTAGTATACTCCAAAGTGTAGGCGATATTCCAGACTGATATGTCTCACACTCAGAAGATTGTCTCAGCTCCACATTCCCAATAATGCCATCAAATAGCCAAAGTGGAATCAGATATCAGGCAGGAATTCTCACTGTTTCACTGTTGAAACTTCAGTATGACTGACTCATCCTAGTTAAGATGTAAAGAAACCAAAACAGTGTTGTTATATATAGAATTGTCAATAAACTTGTACAAAGTCACTAAGGAAACGAGGATGTGCTGTAACTTGTATAAATTGGTTTTAATACTGGAAAGTTTGGAAGAATAGAGACTACAATCTTTTTGTGTCTTATATACAAGATTTATCTACACAGAGGTGGCCTTTATATACAGGTATTTGTTTTATACAAGTAACACAGATATATTTGCTGTGTAGGGTGACATATATCAGGATGGCCTCTTGAGACAGCTTAAAAGATGTAGTCTTTTTATTCAGGTAACAGATATATTCGCTGTGTAGGGCGACTTATATATCAGGATGGCCTCTAGAGACAGCTTAGAAGATGTGGTCTTTTTATTCAGGTAACAGATGTATTTGCTGTGTAGGGCGACTTTTATATCAGGATGGCCTCTATAGACAGCTTAAAAGATGTAGTCTTTTTATACAGGTAACAGATATATTTGCTGTGTAGGGGGACATATATCTGGATGGCCTCTATAGACAGCTTAAAAGATGTAGTCTTTTTTATACCGGTAACAGATATATTTGCTGTGTAGGGCGACTTATATATCAGGATGGCCTCTATAGACAGCTTAAAAGATGTAGTCTTTTTATACAGGTAACAGATATATTTGCTGTGTAGGGCGACTTATATATCAGGATGGCCTCTAGAGACAGCTTAGAAGATGTGGTCTTTTTAGTCGGGTAATGGCCTGTGAAGACAGGTATTTGAAATGGCCTTTGTAGATATTTACTTTGTAGCTGTTACCTTTATAAACAGGTATTTGCATTATGAAAGTGACCTTTATAGACAGGTAGTTTTGATAGTTTACCTTTTTAACAGGTGATGTTAGTTGTGATGTTAGTTGACAATTTTTTGGTGAAAATTTTCACTGGTTCCGCTTTTGTTTCTTGATGAAAGCTAAATTAGTCAAAAAATGTCCTTTGAAAAAGATAGCTTTTATATCATGTGGATTTAAGTGGAATTGTTACATAAACTGGTAGAATTTCCTGTTATATTCTCCACACATCATGTTTGTATATCTATGAAGAATTAGAATGAAAATGATATTTTCTTGTTGAAGAATCCAGTATTTTGAAGACACTATGTACATGTAAGTAGGAAATTTATTTTCATCAGTCAAGGTTTACGGAGCAATCAGGTTTGTGTAAGTAAAGTCATTGATGTAATAATATGTATTCATCCTCGTGATGTGTGAACAGTCTACCATAACTAAGCAATATGTTATTTCATCAGAATCATGTAACAGTATGAAAATTTCCATTGCCTGCACAATAACGCTATTGGTCTACCTTCAGTCATACATCATGTTTAAATCAGTGATTCAACATCATTACACTATTTATATATGAAGTCTTTAGTGCTATATTTGTGTATCATTTTCCATGTAACTTATCAGGAATACTGTATGATTGTCTGACCTGGATTTTTGAGTAAAAGGTTATGGTACTTATTTAACACCAGCTGGGACTCGCACTTCCTTATCGTACTTATGTGTTGTAGGGAGGGTAGTATCACCTTAGTCCCCTGTGGTTTACCGGGCTGAGCATGAACTACACTCTCCCATGGTACATAGCATACAAAGGACACGGCTTGGGATGACAATTTCAGCTGTAATTTTATATAAAATCCACAGACTATTGAAGTATATGTCTTTACCTGTGTAACTCTGTATTTCAAAACCATGCATGTGTTTGCCTATTGTGATATTTTGAAAGATGTCAAAATATTACCACAATTTTGTTCTAATTGAGATAAATTCTTTTTAAGGTAATCTCGGTGTGTCTTGTTTGTTTTCATTAAATGTCTTACCTAGGATTACTTGTTTTCATTAAATGTCTTACCGTGGATTACTTCTGTATCAGACAGAAAGAGACATTTTATAGCCCCAACAAAGTTAGAGGGTGATACTGGAATCTGTTGTCTGTCTGTCTGTAGACACATGTTAAATGTCTTACCGTGGATTACTTCTGTATCAGACAGAAAGAGACATTTTATAGCCCCAACAAAGTTAGAGGGGGATACTGGAATCTGTTGTCTGTCTGTCTGTAGACACATGTTAAATGTCTTACCGTGGATTACTTCTGTATCAGACAGAAAGAGACATTTTATAGCCCCAACAAAGTTAGAGGGGGATACTGGAATCTGTTGTCTGTCTGTCTGTAGACACATGTTAAATGTCTTACCGTGGATTACTTCTGTATCAGACAGAAAGAGACATTTTATAGCCCCAACAAAGTTAGAGGGGGATACTGGAATCTGTTGTCTGTCTGTCTGTAGACACATGTTAAATGTCTTACCGTGGATTACTTCTGTATCAGACAGAAAGAGACATTTTATAGCCCCAACAAAGTTAGAGGGGGATACTGGAATCTGTTGTCTGTCTGTCTGTAGACACATGTTAAATGTCTTACCGTGGATTACTTCTGTATCAGACAGAAAGAGACATTTTATAGCCCCAACAAAGTTAGAGGGGGATACTGGAATCTGTTGTCTGTCTGTCTGTAGACACATGTTAAATGTCTTACCGTGGATTACTTCTGTATCAGACAGAAAGAGACATTTTATAGCCCCAACAAAGTTAGAGGGGGATACTGGAATCTGTTGTCTGTCTGTCTGTAGACACATGTTAAATGTCTTACCGTGGATTACTTCTGTATCAGACAGAAAGAGACATTTTATAGCCCCAACAAAGTTAGAGGGGGATACTGGAATCTGTTGTCTGTCTGTCTGTAGACACATGTTAAATGTCTTACCGTGGATTACTTCTGTATCAGACAGAAAGAGACATTTTATAGCCCCAACAAAGTTAGAGGGGGATACTGGAATCTGTTGTCTGTCTGTCTGTAGACACATGTTAAATGTCTTACCGTGGATTACTTCTGTATCAGACAGAAAGAGACATTTTA